CGCCCCGCCCCCTTCGCAATGCCCTAGCCAGCCGCCTTTGGTACATTGAGATTAATGACGCGCCCCTCGCAAGCGGACAATTAGTAATCGTTGCTGCAACCATCACTCCGTCTTTGTCAGGGTCAATCCTGAATGGCATCATATTGGTTGAGCCGTGCCGCAGGGCTGAGCACTTCGTGGTGTGGAGCTGAACCCACGGAGAAAGTGCGGCTGAACTATTATTGGCCAGCACAGCACAATCCAGGCTAAGCTAAATGCTTTCTTCTGACTTTTTCAGCATGGAACAACCTCACACCCCACTCATCCCGTTCAACACCAATATCAATGAAGTTTTCCCTTCCCTTTAATCCCAATCTCAATGTCAATCTGGCTTCAACTTCTGGTTCTGGAACCGTCGTCGCCATTTCTTCGCAACATTTATTTTGATACGCTATTTTGTTATGATTTGTTAGAATGTAATTATCAAAAAATACCTAAGTGTCCTTACTTTGGGATTTGTTACTCCATGTATTGCTGTAAGTTGTTCTCTCGTAAAATATCAAGCTGCACTTTTTATAGGGTGCGATCTTTTGTTATGAGGGGCCCCATAGCCTGACACATTTAGTTTTGAAACGTAAACAATGTCAGTTATATACCCTGTTTTTCCCTCTCTATAATATAAAATGCAGTGCAGGCTATTCAATTTTTGTGGTTCGATACTATTAGATTTCTGAATAGATTCTTTATTAACATTACGTTTTTGATGACTGTTCTGTACATTTGGGCTGTGACTAAGTATTTTAACATTCATTTCTATCCTATGTTAGATGGATTCTGCCAAGCAGAAGGTGAAGACCGATGTGGATAGACAATTCGAAGAAGATTTAGAGAGAGCTCGAGCACTTAGTTTAGAAAGTCTTGCTTTGGAAAAATTTAAGAAATGCAAACAGCAGAAGGAACTAGAAAGGCTACATGATAGTCAAAAGCTATTTCGTCACAATGTATCTGTATCTACAACGCGTTCAGAAGTCCACGAGAGAAAACTGTCTGCACCTCAAACTTCTAACAATAACATTGTTCATGAACGACTTGAATTAAAATCCAGACCAAGACCTGGCTCTTTCAATCCTGGTAAGCTACCTGTATTGCCTTGGTTGTCAAAACAGTTTTTACTTTAAATTTATTTTTTAACCTTTTATGAATTTCTTAGGAGCTGCAAAACTCACACCAATTCTAGCACCACCCCCGACAACAAGACGTGTATCAGTAACTACAACCGAAAGTGCTAAGGATCTAATCTCGTTTAACAGCCCAGAATATAATGAACAATCTTTATATCCAGATTTAGATGACCTATATGGATCACTTTCAAGACAAAGGTTTGTTTATCATGGTATCATGTTCAAGTTGTATCTTATGATAGTACTAAGTTAAGTTCATGGTAAAATTTGAACAAGGAAATTTAAGGTCACTTTGTATTAAAAACTAATTTCCAACTCACAATTAAAATTTTATTTTCTTTTGCTCACTTCAGCAGCAGTAATGATGAATCTTTATCAAATGACCCAAAAGAGGTTTTTTTATCTTCAACACCACGTTTGAGTCGCAGTAATAGCAGTGTTAGTAACTTCGGGTAAGTGCCTATGTACTTCTATATCTAAATGCCAACTTCAAGTGTTCTACAAGAACCCTAATCAGTGTTTTATTGCAGGCCTCAAAGACATTTTTGTCATGACAGCTCACCTCCCACAATTCCTACTCTTTCTCACTCTCAGAGTGACAGTTTGGCCATGAGGAGTGTCCAGTTTCCAGGATTTAATCATCTGAATGTCTCAAATATGTCTAATTTGTCAAACATATCCAGCTTTTCCAATACTTCATCCATTCCTTTTTCTTCAAGTCTGTTATCAACATCAGCACCATTTTTGGGATCAGCCATCCAACCTTATAGCCCTGCTCAAGGAATGGATCCTTTGAAAGCAAGCAGCTCCCTGACACCCTATGGTGCATTGTCCTCAGTTCCGCCATCTATACCTTTTCGCTCCTACCGTGTGCCAGCAAATGGCTCGTCTGACTCTGCATCTAGCTCTGCAGGTTTATCTGCCCATCCTTCAACCCCATTTCCTGCAATCACACAAAGTGGTGAGCCTGCTCTCCATGGAGGACTGGAAGTGCTCAAAGTTGTAGAGAAGAAGGATAACAGCAATTTGATAGACCTATCGCTGTTTGATGGAGCAGATGAGACTAATCATAGATTCCAAGGGCTCTACGGCAGTAACAGTGGTACTACTGTACGAACTAGCGTTTTAGAAGCATTTGATCCCCTTCTTACATCTCAAGGCGCATCTTGCCCAGATACTATTGAAGAACAGAGTGAAAAAGATGAAACAACATCTCAGTGCTCTGGCAGCCTATATGACCCCTATGACCCATTTGACTTTATGTATGCTCCCTCAGAGGGGTCACAGTCTGATCCTGTTTATGCAGCTGTTGTTAAAAAGAAGGAAACCTCAGATGCTGATTCAGTTTCTCCTACTAAAACAGGCCCACCGCCATTGCCACCTCGAAACTATGCTGCTAAGAAGGCTGAAGAGAAAAAACAAAATAGGCATAAAAGTTTTCTTCATGAAGATATTTCAGAAACAACATGTAACACGTCATATATAAATAGTGACTTACGTGCATATCATTCTATGGTACTTTCACTTCGAGCTGAGCATTCTTATGATGACTTGTATACAAATGCAGGTCTAGTCACAAGCTCCACTATCGAAAGTCATTACTCGGAAGGAACAAGCATAAAGTTGGTTGTTCATTCTGTCAATGGGAAAAACTCCCAACCAGTAATATTTACTTGTGATGTGGATTCAACTGTAGAAATAGTCATACTACATGTCATGTGTGCACTGGAAGGTGATATGTCTGGTGAGGCCAGTGATTATGTGTTACGAGTGTGGGGCTTAGCTGAGTACCTCACTCTAAATACCTCTTTGTCTGATTATGAATATGTGCACAATTGCATTAAGCTAGATGAAGATGTCACACTTGCCATAATGCACATAGATGAAGTCAGTCATCCACTGGCTCGCACACTCCAAGATGATAATAGAGATAAATCTCTGACTCTTGAAAATCTCCTACCAAATGAACCTGTCACCCCAATCTCCTATGAGTCACTTCTAATATTACTTGAGACATTAGAACGTGAAATGAATAGATTGCAACATTCATCTGAGCAAGCAAAAGGCAATGGGGGTGTGCAAGAGAGAGGTGTTGTCCAGGCTGTGAAAGCTGTTTGTGCTCTTCTTGGAAACGTTGAAACATCAGAAATCACAGAAGCTGTTGAAGGTTTAGTGCACCAATGCAAAAGCCGCATTTTACCCCAATCATCTCCAGTGCAATTAGTAAGTTGATCTGTTTTTCGAATGTGTCTATATCTTTCCATGTTTTGCACTTATTGTATGGACTTTTATTTTTTGTCAAAAGGATGCTGAAAGCCCATACCGAACAGAGATTGGTGGAGATGATGGATATTACTCAGTTGTCACCTTGCGGCGAAAATCAAATAATGCTTCAGAAAACAACATTGAGAGACATTTTTCAGATATGATATCCAGCCATTGCGAAAAAATTCGAGATGCTGTCCAGCATTTAATTGAAACATACTGCCAGGCCTTTAGAGTAAATTTTCAACTTGTCTCACAACCTATCACTACTGCAGGTAAATCGCAATGTAATTTAAATTAATATATTTTCTTTGTTCTTTGTTAAAGTGTTTGAGTTGGAAAAGTACTGTAAGATTCAAACTAAGTTCCTTTCTGTTTTGACAGACACTCGATGTTTATCAACTGTTAATGACTGTGTGCTTGTTCACATTGATGGACTGCATCGACTCCAGACTTCTTGGGACCATGATGAGTACCTTATAGCAGGGCAGGTGTACCATGGTACAAGACCTATTGGTCATACTGTACTGTCTCGTCCTCTTGCAGTTCAAAACAGCTACTACAAACGTGTTCTGTTTGACTCATGGTTGGTCTTGATTCTGTAAAATTTCCTTTTGCTCCAAACTGAATTCAACCAGCTTTTTCTGTTCATGTTTTTAAATGTCAAAGAACCTAATTAATATTTTCATTTTTAGGCTAAATTTTGATTCTTTGAGTGTAAACATGTTGCCCCGTGAGGCTCGATTAGTGCTGGTTCTTTATGGTCGGTCTATTACTAAATCTGGTGACAATGATCATGATGTTACTGATGGATCACAGCAGATGAGTGAAGTGGAGTTAGGCTGGGCTTCATTACAGTTCTTCAACTATGATGGGTATGATTGTGCATAATTTAGCCATTAGATTGAAATTTTCGTTCAGTCTTTACAAAATTTTTCTACTATTTTAGGATTTTAACTCAAGGCAATTTTTTGTTGTCATTGTGGCCACCTGGGGCTGATAAGCGACTTGGTCCGTCTCCGCTTCCTGGTTCTCAGCCCCACAGTGATGTTCATCCTGTACTTGGTAGGTTCTGTAAAGCTTCTGTATTTTGACTAAGTAAATTTATTTACACTGTTTGTTGGTGGGTAGTTGGGTAATTTGAATCTGCAGCCAGTGTAGTAAGTAATATTTATATTTGTTTGTTTGTTCTCCTGTCAATAGGTGTAGAACTGCCTGACTATGGAGGCACTGTAATGTTCCCCAATGGAGGCAGTAGTGAAACTGTGATAACTGCTCCTACTTATGATTTTGAAAGTCTTGACCATAATACTCAGCAACAGCTACTTGACATCATTGACCAAGATACCTTCACCAGGTGTGTATTTTGATTTAAACTGTTATTAAGTATTGGTATCTGTGTTTTTCCTCTCTCATTTGACATAGTATAATTCATCCTGTATAATATTTTTTTCTGAATTATAGACCTCTTCCAGAGGATCGTGAGGTTTTGTGGGAGAAGCGCCACTACCTTCATCATAAACCAGAAGCTCTAGCCAAAGTAATTTTGGCTGCACATGATTGGGACTATTTATCCTCATCGAAAATGCATGCCCTTATACGTTCATGGACTCCCATGGAGCCGGTACAGGCTTTGCAGCTTCTCCTTCCATGGTTAGTTCTAGAACACAATTCTTCTTCAATTTTTAATAAAAGTAAATAGAGTGAGGTTTCACCTTTTTATACTTTTATTTTAAGTTACCCTGACGGAGAGGTTCGCAAAATGGCAGTTTCATGGATTCAAGGAATAGGACGTGATGAAATCATTGACTACTTGCCGCAGCTTGTACAAGCCTTAAAGCATGAAACTTATGACTCCTCTCCTTTGGCTGCTTTTCTACTGAGGAGAGCCCTGTGTTCCCCCCGCGTTGCACACCATTTGTACTGGTTGTTGACACAAAGTTTACCTGGGCAGTGCCCACAGGTAGGTTGTTTGAAGAGAGAAAACAATTTTTATGCTCAGTTGTAAACATGTAATATTTTGTAAAATTGATAATTTGTGTGCTTTCAGAACTCCTCTGAAACTACTGGAGCTGATGATGTAAGTGTTTGTGAAGCTCGGTATCATAGACGATTTCAGTTAATGTTAAGAGCTCTACTCTCAATATCAGGAGAGGCGCTTCGTCAAAGATTCCTCTCACAACAAATGCTTGTCAAGGTAAGATATTTTAAAACAATCCTGGACATTATTTTGAATGACATTTCTTTGGAATGTCTTCAAGTCACATTTATTTTACATATTTTCCTACAGGGTCTTTTAGATGTGGCTCAGTCAGTGAAAACTACTAAGGAGTCCTTGCGTCTCCAAACACTTGCTCGTGACTTGGAGTGGGTTCATAGATCCCTGAATGAAGCATCCTCCCCAACATGCTTACCTCTAAGTCCAGCTCTGGAAGTCTCAGGCATCCAAGTTAGGACATCATCCTATTTCCCTTCTAACACACTTCCTTTAAAAATAAATTTTATTGGTTCAAGCTCAAGAATTATTCCAGCCATTTTTAAGGTAAGTTATGAAGGTCTATGATGTCCCTCTAGATTAAAAATGAATGCAAATTTAACTTCCTCTCACCTATAAGCTATTACTATTATTTACTACTTATTAAACTTCTTTTTCTTTAGGTTGGTGATGACCTACAACAAGACATGTTGACCATACAAATGATTCGTATAATGGATAAGTTGTGGCTTAAAGAAGGTCTGGATTTGAAGATGGTAACCTTCACATGTGTCCCAACTGGTCATATGAGAGGAATGATTGAAATGGTCCAACAAGCAGAAACTCTCAGAAAAATTCAAGTTGAACTTGGTCTTACTGGGTCTTTTAAAGACAGACCAATTGCAGAGTGGTTGGCTAAACACAATCCTTCAGCTCTCGAATATGAACGGGCAGTTAGCAACTTTACAGGTTTGTTTGTTTGATAAAAAATAATATATATACCTCCATAAATGAAACATAAAAATAATATAGTTATTTGGAACTATCTACCTTTTTCAACAGCATCATGTGCTGGATATAGTGTTGCGACATATATTCTTGGGATATGTGATAGACATAATGATAACATTATGTTGAAAACTTCAGGCCACCTCTTTCACATTGACTTTGGTAAATTCCTGGGAGATGCGCAAATGTTTGGCAATTTTAAACGGTAATTATAATAGACTTAGTTTTATGTTTCTATCTTACTGAAGTGATGATGCTTCAACATTGTACATTCTTTGTTTTAGGGACCGAACTCCATTTGTTCTCACCTCAGATATGGCTTATGTCATTAATGGTGGTGATAAGCCCTCAGCCAAGTTCCATAATTTTGTTGATTTATGTTGTCAAGCATTCAACATTGTGCGGAAACATGGGAATCTTATTTTAAATATGTTTGGCCTTGTATGTTTGTCACCAATTTCATTTTAAAATATGGAAAAGCAATGGATGTTAAGTCATGTAGTTAACACTTGACTGTTTTCATTTGTTCGTGTAGATGGCTTCATCAGGTATACCAGGAGTGACCATGGATGCTGTTCAATATGTTCAACGTGCTCTTCTTCCTGACCAAACAAACCCTGAGGCTGCTGCGTACTTTGCTCGTATGATCCAGAGCTCCTTAAAAAGTTGGTTTACACAATTCAACTTTTTTCTACACAATCTTTCCCAGTTAAGATTTACTGGTGATCACAATGATGGAGAACTTCTTAGTTTTATACCTAAAACCTACACGTTAGTAAATTCTTAGCTCATCTTTTCATTCAACTTGCAATCTTTAATGTATGTAATTTGTGCCTTACTGTAATTTTCCTTTTAGGATGCAGCAGGAAGGCCGTCTCAAAAGTGTGGCTGTATACGGGTGTCAAAAACGTTATGATCCAGAAAAATACTATCTTTATATCCTTCGTGTTGAGAGAGCAAATCAGCCTGATCCAACCTTCCTCTTCCGGTCGTACAAGGAATTTTGTGAATTACAACAGAAGCTATGCATCCACTTTCCTTTAGCAAAATGTCACAGGTAAGAGAAAATAGCTTATCATTAAAATAAGTCAGTATTATCTAAACTTCTAATATATTTCTGTTACTTTTAATACATATTGAAACACAAGCATGAAAAAAGACTAGCACTACAGCAGTATAAATACCTATACTGTACATGCAGTTCTGTCTTATTCTATACATTTTAAAAGATTAACATTATTAAAACCACAATGCTTCACTCTTTTTAGTGTTACTCTCTAAACCACTTTCAGACCTAGTTTCTTTTATATCCTTGGATGACTCAGAGCTATTCCCTTCTACATCATCTTCCTGTTGTTTTTCAGTTGTTGGTAATGATGTTACTGATGAAATTTGTGTTGTAATTGCTCGCACTGGAGGAGCAGGTGGCATGGACTGTCTCGTTTGCGGTCTTGGTGCAGTAGATAGCACTTGTTGCATCCCACGACCCTCATCATTTAGCATAGCCAGTTGTCGATAGTTGCCATAGGCCCATGATTTTGGCCTCTCTCTCTCTTTGATTTCATACTTCTTTAGCCGAAACCTGTACCAGATAGATCGTGGTGGCCTGTGGAAGATGACTTCAATTTAACTATTTCATATCTACAGTTCAGCAATAGCACTCGAGAACAATTTCAATTTGTTGTGAGGTGATTTGTAAAATGTGACTCTATGTACATACCTGTCAGAAACGTCCATTTTTGCTGATAGCGTAGAAGCTTGTTTAATTTTGCATTGTTGAGCAAATCACTAGTTCTCCTCTAGTTCTCCTCCGTGCAAGCTCTGTAATCATATTGGTTTTGTGGGCACTCCCATACTTGCCATCTTATCTCTACTGCTACAGATCAGTTTTAAAATTACTCCCCCCCCCCCCCAATCTCCTTTTGTCGTAGAATATTCTCTTATTAACATTACTTTTTGCTAAACATTACCTTTGCTGATGCTTTTGGCCTTCTTTTACTGCAATTCTTACTATATAGATTGCTCTGCATTCAGAAGTCCGTGCACACCTTATGCCTTATCAGTACCTTGTCAGATAGGCCGGCTATTGTGGTTGAAGTCTGTGTTATCTCAGAACATTCTTCAGTAAGGGGGAAAATCAAGAGTGAATCAGAATCACATTTTTGTGTGTGTGTGTGTGTGTGTATGTGTTTATTTCAAATGAAATTGGCATGTCAAAGAAATTCATATCTATTCGTACTAAGTCCAAATCATCACCACTCCATTAGTTCAATGTGTTGAATCATAGTCACGGTCACTTCCTTGTATTTGCTGTGAAAGAATTACCTGAGTATAATCTAATCTTTCCTTTTTCTTCCCACCCTATATTTTAAGCCTTACAAGTGGTCTGCATATGGGAAGATCTAACATCAAGCAAGTTGCTGACAAAAGGCGCCTTGACATTGAAAGATTTCTAGTCTCTCTTTTTCGAATGGCTGATGAAATATCTCATTCAGACCTTGTTTATACATTTTTCCATCCTCTTTTGAGAGATCAACAAGAAGTCAGTGTGGCTAATATCCATACTTCAAAATACAAAGGTAAAATTATTCCTTAAATTGTTACTCCTTAGCAATTAATTACTCTATTTCAGTCTTACTGAATCAAATAATCTTTACAGAGAAGAAAGCATCTCGCCCACAAGGGCTAGAAGCTCATCGTCTGAAGGGTCAATTAAAACTTTCTATACAATATCAACGAGGAACATTAATGGTAAAATACTTTTTACAATATTGACTGGTAATATGTAGCTTATATGCATACATACTTGATTCCTATCTAATTAAATTTTTTTTACTGTTTCTTAATGGCCAGGTTATGGTACATCATGCTAGGGAACTGCCATTTTTAGCTGGAAGTCAAGAGCCTTCAGCTTATGTCAAGGTGTATTTGCTACCGGATCCTTCTAAGGCAACTAAAAGAAAAACAAAAGTTGTCCGTCGAAATTGTCATCCTACTTTTATGGAAATGGTGAGATCTTTTTTTGACATTCTGTGTTGCACCGCTACACACTGCTGCATTGTATGTTTACAGTGTTATGTATATATAAAGCAATTGAACCACTCACTCACTCCCCTTTTTCTATTTCCAGATTGAATATCGAATGCCATTAGATGTTATCTGTCACCGTACCTTACAAGCTACTGTTTGGAATCATGATACATTACAAGAAAATGAATTCCTTGGAGGTATTTCACTTCCTCTGGTGTCTTGTGATCTCTCAAAAGAAACAGTTGAATGGTATTCTCTTGGCAACGTTTGCAGATGACATCTTTAAATCTTAGATAGAGCACAATGTTTGTGATTATATTTGCTCTGTGCTCTGTGATAAAGTCTTTGGTAATTTTAATTTTCTGTTGTTCTGTCTTACATAACAAAGTCAAGATGCATTCTGCACAGAGGTCTTTTACCAAATTAAGAAATTAGTCCTATGAATTGTAATGTACTTTGTGCTCCGCTTGGACTCCACCCCTGTGGGTCCTTTATGTTAATATCAAGTTTTGCCTATTATTAATTCTCTTTTAAATCCCAAGCTAATCTTTTGAGCTTAGCAAATCATAATTTAGCACCCAGAGTGCAGTAAAGGATTATCCCGTGGATATGAGGTTGGTTTTAGATTCAGTGTATAGGTAGATACTACTTTTACATGTCTTTTTGATTTCATTTGCCTGCTTTATGATTGGTGGATGGTTATCCTGTGGATGAAAAAACCTATATCCTGATGCATGTATTGTATATTTTTATTACAAAGATGATTTTGAAATCTTTATATGATATTTGAAATGAATTTTGATAGCAACTTTTTGATGCATATACTTTGTTGGTGTTGTTTTAATGATTGGTATGCTCGTGGCACAATAAGTATTCCAGACTGCTCTTGGCACAATTCCTGACTGAACAAACACTGTTGCTGTGATGAAAAATAATATTTTTTTAAACTTACGGTAGATGGAATGGTTTTGTTTGCTCTCGCCTCTTCTAAAAAGAAATACTAAAAACTTACCTTTCCATCTAACTGAAACAGCTATGGTCAGATCACTTGTTAAATCTTACAAGATCTGTGCTAGATACTGAGAACAACTTTTGTGATTTAGTGATGTGTTTGATTGGTGCATTTTGTGGTATGTATTTGATAAATTTACTGTTGCTCTGATATAATAGATATATTTTTCTTCTGTGTGATGAACTTGTTTTAATTAATGTGTACATTTGCTTGCCAAGTCAGCTAGACAAAACAATAATATTCAGCTACCTTATTTTTACTGAACGTGTAGTATTTATAACACTACTTTGGCAGCTCTATGTAAACTGTCATTCATCTTTTGTTTAGCTCCTGTCTGAAACATTTTCAGAAAAGCTGTCTGTATTTTTATGATCATAAGGTCTTAACAGTGTATTCACTTTAATTATGTCCTTAGCAAAATACTCATTGATTTACGGTATGTTGTTTATGCATTAATTTTAAGTTATCCTTCTTTTTCTTTTTTTTTGTAATCATTTTCATGTAGTTTTGTTGTAATTTTTGTTGGTTTTAATTTTGTGTAACAGCAATCTTTTATTATTTCTATTAGATGTATTATCTTAAACTCTTGTGTATTTGTTAAATAATCCATCTATTAATCATTGTTTTGTGTTATAGTCTGTTTATGATAGACCAATTCTGAATGTATGTGGTCAAAATGTGATTTTACATGTAGTCAGTATGACCATAAGATATTGTTGGAAAGATGAAATGTCCCAAGGGGTGAAATTTGAACTGTGGTATCATTTTTTACACTGCCATTTTCTTTTTTAAGAGTCATTCCGTTTTAAATAATCTAATTATTTATGGCTGGGCACTTGAATGGTTGAGTTGTGTTCATGGACTTCTGTAACTGTTCCGTATTCATTATTCTAACTCTTTTAAAATGTCAGTCTGGAATAAAGTTCCGGCTCGTGGACTTAAGACTGGAATAGCATTTAATTCCACGCTAAGTAAAACATTCCAAACACTGCTCACTTCTTGAACCCTTTGTCTTCTACTTGATTAGTGGGTTAGAACAATGACATGTCTGCTCATTCGAGTGCATTGCAAGCTCATCAGTATTTGTTAGGACATAATGAACCAAAACTGAAACCAAAAATGTAACTTTTATCGTAAGCCGAGAGTCTATTCTAGAAGCAAGTAACTGCACAACCAGTTTTAAAAGGAGATTTAAACATTTTTATTCTAGTTTTTAGAATTTCTAAAGTGTTTTTATGCAGTAGTCTGTGCGGGGGGTGATACCCACCATT